AAGGACCACAGCTGGAGAATTGCAGAAAGTAGTCGAGTCTCAGGGTCAGAAAACCTCAGAAAAATCAAACAGCACCTTCACCACCACATGTTGTTTGGGAGGGTTTCAAGAAAAAAATCAAGAAAAGAAAATGCTCTCATCCAAAAACAATCCCCAGCATATTTTGTTGTCAGACATGACTGGAACTTCAAATGGGACTGGCTTCTATGGTCTATTTACTAAAAAATTAGCTTTTTAGCAACAAACACTCAAGATGGGTTTGGTGCACACAGGGATAAAAAGTACCCCATGTGTACAATGAAATATACTGCTGTATTTTTAATGTTGTGGGCCTATATTTCTGCTGGAGGTCCTGGACAGCTTGTTTAGATACATGGCATCTTTGATTCAAATCAAATACCAACAGATAAAAAATCAAAAAGTGACTGACTCTTCTGGAGAGATTCTGGATGAAGGAATTGTCTCTGATCTCTTGTCAGGTGCTCTCTAACCTCATCAGGCATTATAGGAGAACACTCAGAGCTGTTATTATGCCAAATTGAGGTTTCAAAAAGCATTGAATAAAAGGGTGCCCTTAATTGTGTCCAATGGGTATTAGAGAAAAACATTTATGTCATAATGATATTTCCCCCCATTTTAAATTCTAATTCTCCAATGAAAGGTTAGATTTATGTGAATTATTTTAAATAAAAGATCAAAATGATTAACAATGTAGATTTATTTACATTTATATACAGCCTTCTTTGATCATATTTACCAAGGGTGCCAATAATTCTGACCATGACTATGTAGTCATCGTTCAGGCTGTTGCAACATTTTGCCAAAGGAGAAGTGTTGTACAAGAAAATAGTGTTGTAACAAAGGAAGAACGAAATAGCAAAGAGAAAGAGATATGAACAGTCTTATCTGACAGCCTGACAGTCTTCTCTGTTCACATGTAAAGCAGCAGTGACAAGGCTGTTTCACAGCACTTCCATTGTCTCTTGGTTTGTTTGATAAAGATCTCATTTGTAATGTTAAAATGCTTTTTCTTAGTTTTTATAATTATCCACCATTTATTTGGAAAACAAAGGAACATTTTGTAGAATGTCAAAAAAGGACATTTTGACTAATTTGATTTATTGTAAAAGTGAATTATGCTTGATGAGACAAGTGGTTTTGAGGATAGTGTTAACTACATTAGGAAAATGTACTTGTTGTGGTAATGTTCTAATATTCTAGGATTTATACTTTCTCAGTGCAAAAGATGTATTCTTGTAAATATGTTAATAATGTTAATTGATAGAATATGAAAATTAAACAGTAAAAACATATATTTGGTTAACTCAAAGTTACCCAACAGTATACATCAAAAATTATAATAAATTTAACAGCACATTATATAATTTTGCTTTAGTTTTTTTTTTGAAATACACAATATAATATAATTTATCATTAAAGTCTTGAAGAAAATGCACATATGTTTGCAGTAACATAGTTATTACAATTGTAGCTTACAGTTTACTGTGAAAAAAGTTGCAAAAAGGACATTCCCAGAAGTTTCTGCATGGACATCCCCTCTGAATATATTGTAGTTTTTATTTATTTTTTAATTTACATAGTTTCTTAATATTGTTGTTATCAATTTTGTACATTCGTTTTTTTTATTAGTTTAGTGTGTGTATGGCACAAACTGTGCACCGTCTATAAATACTGACATAATTTATGTGGCCTTCTGTTTTTATCTCTTTTTTTTTGCAGATTATCGTTGTTCAAGTAAGCTGAAACATTGTCATTATATCAGAAAATAAAATATACGGTTATGATCCGTAATATATATTGGCACCCAAATGTCATCCTGAAACATTGCTATCAACCACAGCTGCCTTTATATATGTATATGTATATGTATATATATATATATATATAATTTTTTTATACAGTGTACAGTGGTAAGCAAATGCGTTAAAGCAACTATATGTAGTTTTGTGTATTTTTGGAGCTCTGTACAGTTAAGTGACTGTTGTAATTATATCACTGTGGTGATTACAGTGGATAGCTGTACACATGCATTTGTTGCTGCCGTAAAGCAATCCACCCTTTTCTTTGTAGAATTTTGTACCCGCTCACCAAACATACTTGAATGTTTGGTGAATACTTGAATGTCTTATGTGAGGAGCCTGTTTTATTTATCTAACACACATACTTAGTCTACACCTCAAATTTGCACATAATATACCTGTACATACAAAACTGTCTATTGTAATATACCTGCACATACAATTGTCAATTTATATATTGTTGTTCCTTATTTACTTGTTCTATTTTTTTTTGTATTCTTTTTATTATCTGTGTTTTTGTTCTGTCGCTGTCATTCTGTTGCACTGCGGAAGCTTCTGTCATGAAAACAAATTCCTCGTATGTGAAAACATACCTGGCAATAAAGCTCATTCTGATTCTTCTGATTCAGATTGAATGATGTGAGCTGTACAGTTGCATATTAGGCCACAAAAGCTTTTCATCATAGTAACACTGTGCTTTGGTTCACAGGAGCTCTGCCCATCGTGTACAGCACTCTTCTCTGCTACCCCTTCACCCGCACAGTGGCTCTGCTGATTTACATCCTGCTATCCAGTTACGCCATCTACTGTGCCATCACAGCACGCAGCAGAGTGCGGCGTCTGCGTTCCTTCGCCTGGCAGGCACTTTTCCGCTTCTCATTTTTCCTTCTGCGCTGGATAGGTGTGGGCGGAGGGAGTCCCACCTCACTGCGTCACTTTCTCACCATGGATGCACTAGCGGTGTTGGGCGGTGTCATCAATATCACACGAATCCCCGAGCGGTTCCGCCCGGGCCTCTTTGACTACTGGTGCAACAGCCATCAGATCATGCATGTGCTGGTGGTAGTGTCCATAATGTACCTACACTGGGGGGTGCTGGACGACTTGCTATGGATCAACACGTATCACTGTCCCTCAGACTGACAGTGGCTAGCACTGACAGTGCTAGTCTGGAATCATAGGTAATAGGGCGTGAGGACCTCTTTTAGTAATGACATGTTTGGGAATGCGACGTAATTGGGCAAAGAATGGTTTGGGGTGGGGGGAGGCTGTTGTGCTTTGTATATAAATGTGTGCACGAAAGTCTATAAGAAGTGTTTTACATGTTTTTTAGGGGACACCAGTGCCAGCTTTGACACACATGCTTGTTTGTGCCGTCAGTAGCCAGAATGTACATATCCGTGTTTGCATAAACATTGTCTGTGCATGGCACTGTTTAGACCTGCTAGCTCAAACAAAGCTAATTTTTTTGGGTTTGAGACCTACACATTTTATAGGCGCACACACACATATGGGGTCTGACATTATTTGATGTCATATGTTCACCAGCATTTAAAGCATTTATAACCTCTAAATTTAGTTGTAGCTGAACAGTGAAAGACATGATTGAGCCCTCAAATGATTGGCTCTCGAAAAGCAAGATTTAACGTATCACATAATCTAAAATTTGTTGCACAAAATAGCATGGCTTTTGTGAAAACTAATTACGGTTTGTCTCTTCTCAATTTTGCTGGTGATACAAACAAAGACCACCGGTGCAGAAATGATGTATGCACCACCAACTTTCAACTTATTACTCTATTGCAGACTATGCAGCATATCAAATGTTACATCAGTGCTAACACCACACACACACACATACACACGTACTGTATGCCCAGTCTCACAGCAACATTTACTGGAAATACTTGAGTTGACTTTACTTGTTTTATCACACTCTTCTTTTTTTTTGTGTCGTCTCCCTGTGTTCAGGTCCACATTTTTCACAATCTCACCCTGATACCTGTAAGTGAAGGGTGAAGGGGTCATTCCTTGGTTTGTAGCCTTGACTTTTATACGTTTACTGGATGGTTAAAGTTGCTGAGTGCCTATTTTATTTCTTAGTGCCCTCTGTGACTTTGATCACGTTTGTTAGCATCTAAGGGCATTTATTCAATGCAGTTTTTGCAGGAGCGCGACTTTAATAATACCCTGGGAAACATTTTACGTTACCTGCAGAAGATATTTTCTCTGCTGTGCCGCTGAACAGTCAATTCAGCCTTGTACACTTAGGGTTTTAATATCCTAATCTGTAGTTTGGAAGATTGGATTTTGTACCGCTCTAAATTAGATTTAATTTATTTCTGACCTTTAACCTCAATTATCTATGTAACCTTGGATTCAAGACAAGGCAAATTATTTTCTTAATGGCGTGCTGTTCGCACAAAGGCTTTAATTCTCTGCTGGCCATCCTCGCCCACTGCGCACCTGATGTTCCCGCTCCTCAGATGTGGCAGATGAATATTGGACTCCAGAATGGAGCAATATTACACATGCCAATACACTATGAGTTCCCCAATGAAGACTAGTGGAATACTGGTAACTGCAGATTTGTGCCAAATTAATGCTATATATACGGATGATCTAAATCCCTAGTAATGGGATGAACTTGATTGGATATAATTCATAATGGCCCCTTTGATTTAAGAAAAGTTGCCAAAAGAGTTACTAAAGCTGAATAGTCAGTCACCTTTATATCTACTTTAGAATGTGATTAATGTAAACTAAACCAGTTCTTAATGCAGATTGCACTATGAAGATGTTCACATTGTTCCAAATGGGCTGTATTATGCCGTTTTGCACATTGGGATTTGTTGTCTTAGCACACTTATGCACTACTGAGCGGAACAAACCAAGGATGACTCTTCTAACCCTTCCAACCTCACTAGTTTTAAAGAACTGACAAACCAACAACACGATGTGATAGATTCACTGACACTATCACAATGTAGCTTTTAGAATAAACATCAGTGAGGCCTGCCGTTCATTTCAATTACCTTCACTCCGTATCATTGGCATTATATTTATTATATTTAAGATGATGTTTTAACATTTGGCAATGTTTGAAGATGCTTTATTTGAATGCTACTACTACTGTTTTTATTTTTATTATTATTATTTATATATATATATTATTTTAACCAGTTGGGGATCACATATCTTTAAACAACCAGAGTACTCTGATATGCTATAGCAGAGATCAGACCTATTCATGTAGAATCAGTGCATGTTAGGTAGAATGTTGCTCAGATGTATCTGACAAACACTTACACATACTCAATGCCAAATGAGATGTTTCAGGGCCTCAGGTATCGAGCCCGACCGTCCTGATCTTAGAAGACCAGGGTGGTTTTAAAAACAAACCACAAGTCCCTCAGAACAGGGAAGGTTTACCCCAACCCCTTTAATGTTATTAAATGACAAACATTAGACTCTGAAATCAAGTGGTGCATGTAAATACTAGTAAACGAATCCCCTTAAAACACAACATGCGATTTCTAATGCCTGTGCAATGCAACCACTGACATATGTGCTTAATGTGCAGTAATGGAGCTAATGCATCAAATATATCTGTCTTTAGAAATGGAATGAAATCAAGAGAGCAGCCCAGAGGCAATACAACCATATCGAGTAATTAACTGCACTGTTTTTTTGTTTTGTTTTTACCAAAAGGGCTTTGGATCAAAGTGAAAACCAATTAAAGAACTTAAAAGTCCATATAGGTAACGTAAATACCTGTATGTAGACTGTATATGCATAAAATGCAAGTGGCATACATACTGACATTTTTATATATTCAATTAATATATAGAGCAACAATGTTCTAAGAAAATATATTGAATGTTAATATATTTCATCTCAGAGAGTGACAGTCAATATGGATTGTCCGATTTCATTTCAAAGGCAGCAGTGATTTGATAATTCCGTAACTGTAAAAAGCTAAAATTGTGACATCACAATGCCAGGCCTGGCAGGAGAGTTAACAATGCTGTTAGATTATTTAGTAGGGTTAACGCCATAATAATATGTCTGTACTACTATGATGTCATAATGTCATTAACATGGTCTTTGGTTTTTTAAACTGTTTAGAAGGAATTGTAATATAGTTTGGTTGGCAAAATCTCTTTTTTACATTATGAAAAGTACAGAGAGGCATACAGATGTTTTGGTTTGGGGTCCTGATATGTTATTACCTCTGAAACCCACTGGATAACTATGCATAATCGAAATCTGTACATATATATACACAAACATGTTTGTACATGTGAATTCCAAAAACAAGATGTTTTACCAGTCCTGAAAAGAAATAGATCTGTGTGTTCACACCAACATGTTTTGCTCGGACCATGCCATCCTGGGGTTTCCTCTTCTCAGGGTGCCCTGTCAGTGCTCACTTGTACTGAGTGACCGCAACAACTGATTTTGGGCCAGTTTTCTTTTCATCCTGTCATGTCTTCTTTGCTTGTTCTGGTTAAAATCGAGGACTGAAAAAAAAAAAAAATGATGACAGTTGTATGTCTTTAAGGGCAAAGGTCACGATGGCTTGTCAGTCATCAGGCATTTGGACTGTGCGTCCTTCAAGATGCATATTGCCTTTGTGGGGCTGAATGTGTCCATAAATGCTGATCAAGAATATGTTTATTCATGTAGTTAGTTAGGTGATGTGAGAATGTGCAGAGCATGTTACATTGAGCCCTCAAGGAAATGGATTGCATCATAACCCATGTTTTAGAGGAGGAACAAGGATGATATTCTCATGGATGATGTTCTCCTGTCTGTATATTCTAAGTTTCTGTGGTTAAAAAATAATGACATGATGTATGAAACTATAATAACTTTGTTTTCTTAGTATGCAGGTGCTGGATAGCCTGTTAATGATAATTTAAAAATTCATCATTAGTTACATTTCGTGTTATTATGATAATGGATATATTGTTATTATTACTATTATTCTGAGATGGGTTACCACTATCAATGATCATCTTAATTTAAGTACAAAGGCTGAGAATACTAATGCACATAGCAAGACAGGAGGTCTCTGAAAGATCTGTCGTTTTTTGTTTCCACTCCTGCTTGTCTGTCTTTGTTGAATTTGGTTGTTTGGCACCATCTGGTGGCCACAGCGCTCTATTGACTCTTATAAGTCGGTAACAACATAAATGATGTTCAGATAAACCATGTTGACCTTCTGGATGAAGCCATTCATAGGTCACGCACTGAGCCCTATTGGGCATGTATATTTTTATTTTTTGTTGTTTTATTAGGCGTCCTAAACTCATTTATTTCAAAATTTATTATAACTTTAATTTTACATAAACATTTCTTGTTGTAAATTTTGTTGTTTTTTCTACAAGCGTGTCTCTGTTGGTTTGTTTTATGGGCCTATATGTCTCTCTCAGTCTATTTGTGTGTCCACAGTTACATTTGTTCACACAAGACAGATCTTCCAAACCCCACGGTCACCTGCAGCGAGTGTGCAATAAATTGAGGTTTATATTTTTAAATCGTCTCTTTTGCCTTTCTTTATTTTCTAAATGATTTGAAATATGACTGTTGATGCAAACAGGATATGCGCCTGCTTTTATATTTTGACCTCCACTTCAGGTAATTCATGTTTGCCCTATTTATTCTCACAGGTGTGGTGAAGTGCTTGTGTGACTGTGGGTGTAAAGTTTAAAAAATATTTTTATTTATATTATTATATTGCTCTGTTTATTAAATCTGTCACTTTTGAGAAATTAACCCTAACCCTTATAACTTTTTTTCCCCCCGGAAAATAAAAAAAAGAAATTTAAATGTGAAAATTAATTTATATGATCAGAGTTCAATTGAAAGTGAAAAGTGGGGAAAAAAAAAATATATATATAAATATATATGGTATATATATATATATATATAGTTTATTTACTTTATGTGACTTATTTATAGTAGGCCTAAGTAAATAAAATCATCAAACCCAAATATTGTGATTTTAAGGTAAAAAGGTTATAACTAGTTACCACCAAACTACATACTGTAAAAATATGACAAAACATAATAAATTAACCTCTTTCAAACAGTGTAAGTAGCTTTCACAATATCTATTTAATTGGGATGACAAAAAT